AAGCAGTGTCAAGGTCGTCAGACAGTCCAGTTCCAAAAACGAGTAGAACAAATTTTTGTTTGTTTCACCGTACACTTTTTGATATTTTTGTGTGTTAATTTATCGTTCTTTTTTATGGGGCACAGGATTTCAACAGGCACACCGTACAGCATTCGCACCACTGACTTCTATTCTGGGTCATATCACTCAGCGTTTCTAACCAACGACAATCCTCATCTCATAGGCCCCAACCTGGAAACCTGGCTGCATCAACCGAAGCCAATGCGGAGGCCAGCTTCTTCATACCTGTACGCCACGTCATGGTCTGGCCACAGCGACCTTTCTTTCAGCCTTGCCCAGCATATGCAAAAAGAGCACGGAAAGGTAGTCGGTGAGCAGGCATACTCAAAACATGACCAAATTCATCGGAGGTGGTGTGGATCGATTACTTCTGCTACAGAGTGACTATCTACACTCAACACACGACGACGAACCTGGTCATTGTTCATCCGATGTTCCCACTAGACAGGAGCAATGCTTCAGAGACATAGGTGGTCCAATACAGAAAGTCGATTAGCATCCTCAACCCGGAGGGGCCGTTCACAGACAAAATTTGGTTTTAGAAGGGTGAAAAAGTAAATCTCAATGGCAACGATAATATGAGAAAACAGAGAAAAATTTGTGCGCATAATCCAATCACTCCNCCGGAGTGAGCTGGTGCGTTCTGGGGTAGTGGGTTTTTGCATGTGAACACACACACACACATTGTTCACACGAGTAACCGGGTGTCGGTAATCAGTCTGAAGTAACTGGGGCACGCTTTCTTGATAAAATACGATGTGTACTATGGTACCACGCAGTGGTAGTGCTGTGAGGATGTAAAGCCTAAGCGTTTTGTGTTGAAGAAGTCAGTCAGTCGATCAGAGCGTGTTTGATGGGAACAATCATTGAACAACTATCAAGCACCTTCACCGGATTGTTTGGACCAGTTCAGTTCCATATCAAATTTTGTCAACTCACTTGAACCCATCTCCAACGAAACTCAAATCACGCAACTCACTTGTCCATCACCAACACCCTGTTTAAATGACTCATTCGTTCGACATGATTTTGGAAACGTGCGTTTACAGGTGAGCGCAAACATGATAAGTTGATGGCTACTATCAAATCTGCCCACATATGTTCGCCAAATATTGATGACATCAGTTAGTGTTTGGTTTGACCCTAAAACACCGTAGCCTTCGGCACGATCACATGACCGTGCATGAAAATTCGGGACGGTTTTCAGATTGAAGCATAAAACACACGGGTAGTGCTTCTGAATAGTCGGTCGATACGGCGGTCCGGTTGTGCCGAATTCCCGTGTTTACCGCCGAAACAGACTCGAAATCCCATACAATAAGGAAGATTGGTCTCTCTAAGCACTCTTCGGTTTTACTCTCTGTACTAAATCAATCAACCAGTGTGTTCGTTCACTTTCCTCCAGTCGAACAAACGCCCCCATTACGATGGAGCTATTTTGGAGAAGTCTTAATGCAGACCAATATGGGTTGCGCTCCATTTGGTGTTGCAACCCTAATTGAGTTAACAGACCACACATACACCGTTTGAACACACAGGGTTACACCTTCGAAAACCCCCAAAACTGCCCTCGTAGTGATGCATCTATCTCGTACATTTCGGTGGGGCAAATTAAACTCGGTTTTTGAGAATCCATAGTAAGGCCATCACTAGCCACTAGGATTGCAACAGTAAAAACAAACAAGCAAGCGGCATGGTGAGAGAGGACGAGAGCAGAACGGGTGAGAGTACAGATTGAAAACAAATCAGGGTAGGGGGCCGGTAAGGATAATTTCACCTCGGCTGAATCATGCAAATCATGATGATGATCATCATCATCCTCTTTCGTACACCCGCATCGTCTAATCAGCAAACGGTGAAACGCATCACGATCCGGTTTGCTTATCTGCGTTATTACCAATCCCCGATTCAGAAGGTACAAATCTCTACACGAACGGATTACTCATCCTATGGCATGTACCCTTGTCCCCAAATGAACAGATAGATAGATAACTCAATATGTTGTCCTCATATGCTCCACCGGTGCGTGTGTGTGTGTGTGACATACCTACTGGTGAATTCACATGTTTTTGTCGGTGTGTTGTGGCGGATGCAGAATTTGAAGTGAGGGTCACGTGAAAAGTGTGGAAGTAATGGACATAGATTTGGTGCAATGAAACGATCGTTCGAGTGAACCGGCCAATCACAGGTCGACATGGGACGAGGACTTGTCCCACGAGGATTCGAAAGCATCAAAATAGACGAAAAAGTCTGCCAATTTGTTGACAGTGTTAATCACACCCCAATTGGGTCACACGATTCAGCACGGACAATCAGACCGATAAGCGGAAGTGGCCACCACTGCGAAACTGATGGAGCTTTACGAGAAATTTATCCTGTACTTGGGAAACGACTTATTGCATGATACAGACTATAATGATGACTTAGTAGATAAACAGAGTTTTTTTTCAGCTAAGGACATGAATTTCTTCTTGTGACAGTCATTCAGACCGAACAATCATTGATCGCAGAAGGCATTTACTATGAATCAATTCGGTTAACTACTCCAAGCAAGCGATCTGACACAGTCGTTTCACTGTGAACACTGTGAACTTATCGATTTCACCCCTTTCGATACAACTGTGTTGTGGGAATGGAAAAGGTTTATGCAAAGATGATATTATGTCAACATTTGACTCATTTTAGATACAGACACTGCTTTTCCAAGTGGGTTCGGGAAACGATCTTCATGTTAAAAATCAAAGAACGTACAGCGTTGAACAGATAGCATATTCAAACATTGGACATGTATAAAGTACGGTCTCCTATTTTCGCTAGCAAGAACGCAAAACTGGTTTCTCGATGGGTTCCTTCATTTCCTTCGGCTCCCATCACGTATGTCGCCCTATTCACGTTCAGTTCTACATCAACTTCAGTTATCTCTCAATGTGTGAAGGATGGGTGACGTTGGATAGAATTTTGTCAGTTAACTGCAAGCATGCACCAATATGAGCATCGGAGGTGTTGTTTACCAGTCCAGGTAACGGAACTTGGGAAACATGGCAGAACCTTGAGGAGCTACATCGCAGAAGCGCGAAACCATCCTTCAATAAACCAGGAATATCACAGGGAGGGGCAGTAAAGGGGTACAGACAGAACACATTGTTGTACAAAAGCTCCTAACACCGACAAATCAGAACATAAATGATGATGATGAGACAGGGAGTGGTTGGAAAAAGATAAAGGGTGGTCAAACTAAGACCTGGCATGAGGGTATGAAAACCCTAACCAGGAGACTAGGTCACATAGGTCCTGTTAGAATCCCTTACTGGGTACCCCGAGATCATGTTCACCGATGGTTAGAGAGACAGAGTGATATGGCCGGGTGTCGCAAACAGTGGGGCTCATGCATGTATTGCTTTTTCTTGTAACATCAATCTATATAAATTCGCTATCTTTCGCTTGAATCTGCTCTCAACATTCTAATCTTCATTCTGCTGTTTTACCCAATGGGGGGGTGGAGGTTGGTTGGTTGAAAAGACAGTAACCAAAACCGGCGCGCGAAAATGTATGGTTAATGGTTATAAGAACTGAACAAAACTGAACTATCCGGACACACACGCGCGCCTCACAAGAAGATACAATCACATCAAAGTAGTCCCACTTTCATGGTCACCCTTGTCACAAATCAGTTGAGTCTAATCGAAACTGAAACAACCGGTCCATGTGAAACACTTGTCGGTTCGTATGGGCAACAGCATTTATGATGAAGAAATTTTT